ATTTAAGATCAGTTCAATGGACGTATCTTAAGAAGAAAACATTACGTAGTAGTTCAAAAATACCACGACTGTTATTATTGAACTATTGTATCTTGTATTTATATTTGTCTATGGATTTATTATTGTATTGTATTTTGACGTTTGGTACGTTTATTTGTTACAAGCAAAAAATAAAAAGACCTAATAAATTTTAGTGAATGATTAAATATATAAAGGTGTAATTATAATGTTTCTTATAACTGTTATTTTATAATTAAAAATGTCCGATTTAGTTTCAAAATGTGTTTTACGACTAGAAGTCGAAGAAAAGTCCACAAACAATACTGGTACTTATATGCTAATACTTAATCATCTTGTTTTTTAACTATAAAATTCGTTGATTACTGTTTTAACATTATTAATATTTGTATTAGTATTTTCCTATTTGTTTATTAGTTATGGCGTTATCGATTTAAATTATTTTTCACAATGACAATAGACCACTTGTCTACAAAAACTGATGGTATGGTTTATGATTTTTTAGAAAACAATGAAGCAGAAGAAATTGAAGAAAATGCAGCAGCTAAGAACAATTCAACAGTTAAAAGAAAGAAAAAAGAGATTAGTGTCGAGACATTTCCCAGTAGGTTAGAGAAGCCCCAGGAAGACTGGGGTCTTTTGCCAGTCTATTCCAGAGAAGCAACTCCACTACAAGAAAAGGAACATACTCCAGAAGATCCCAATGAAATTGGCTTTTTTAGTGGAAATCCTTTTGTTGAAGTCACCAAAGGAATTCTACACCTTTATAAAGAAGAGTAAGCGAAGACAATTAAATTTTTATTAATTCTTTATGAATCAGTATGTAATAATTTTATATCTTTAGTGTTTTAAGTAGTTCTGAAGAAGCTTTAACGCTTTGTTTGTTGGGTGTTCCTACTTCAATGACTTGCCATGATCTTTTGGCCTTCACTGCCCCCTGTCACGCAGAAATCGCGCATATAAGAGTCCTCCGCGACTCCACACCAAATCAGTACATGGCATTATTAACGTAAGTTTTCTTTGTATATATTTGCTTACTTATTTATGTCTTATTATATTGTTTATTTTTAGTTTTCGTAATCATGATGCAGCCAATGAGTTCTACGAAACTTTTAATGGCGCGCCGTTTAACAGCTTGGAACCGGATAGTATCTGTAGGGCTGTTTGGGTGTCAAGGGTGGAATGGGCTCACGACGACCTGCCTCCTCCTCCTGGGCACACTGAGTTACCCACTTGTCCTGTTTGTTTAGGTATCCAAATCATTTATTTGTAAAATATGTTTCTGTTTTTTGTTTATTGATGTTTTTTTTTTCTTTTAGAGCGCATGGACGAGTCAGTTGATGGTGTTTTGACCATTCTCTGTAATCATTCATTTCATACCGGTTGCTTGGATCAGTGGAGTGACTCCACATGTCCTGTGTGTCGTTTCGTACAGTCTCCGGAACAAGCAGAGACTTCCGAGTGTGAACAGTGTGGCAGAAGTGGTCCTTCTCCTGATTCTCTCTGGATTTGTCTTATTTGTGGACACATAGGCTGTGGCAGGTATTTATTAATTTAATTAAAAACTTAATAAAAGCTAATTAAATACCAATTTTTTAAATTTATATTTTAGGTATCAGGGAGGACATGCTGCCTCACATTATCGAGAGTCGGGTCACTGTTACGCTTTACAGTTAGGGTCGCACAGAGTCTGGGATTATAAGGGTAATTTATTCTAGTTGTTAAATTATTATACATATATTTTTATAAAAACGAGTTTAAATTTAATACTATTGTGCTATGCCAGTTTGAAA